TGATGATGATGATGATGATGATGATGATGATGATGATGATGATGATGATGATGCGCTAAAACACCAACATACTGACAAGATTTTTTCACTGTCTGTGCAAGTGGTCAGGTGCCCATTCACACATGGGATAAGTGAAGATAATATAGATAGATAAACGAATAAAATTCCACTTGTATTGGTCCCTATGGGAAACTTTGGCTCATCATTACCAATTATGAGGCACCGTGGGGAAATCAGGCGCTCGTCAAAATAATGAAATCGAAGAGAACGGCATTTCCCACCGCTTTGGCAGTTTCTATCGAATTTTTGTTTTTTTGGCTCTGCGTTTTTTGTGTCATTTTAAAAACACATTTCTGTGTATATTGTACGGGAAAAACATTGATTTAAGGCACAAAAAGCTGTAAATTTTTAGTTTCCAGGGACTCTCAAGCTATGGAAGTTACCAAATTGTGGCGGCCATTCTCTCGCTTATTTTACATCTGAAACCAGGCAACCCCCACCTCCTTCAACCGCAAATATTTAAGATAGATGGGTATTTTGTTTTCGCCAAATGCAAAACAAATGAGCAAGCTTTAAGATGGTACTTATATATTTGGTAACATAGTGTAAAGCGCCTAGAGGTTGCTGTTGAGCGGGAATATGCGCTATACAAATGCTATTATATATTTATTATTACTTATGAATCCATATATATACCCCAAAATTAACGAGAGCCTGATTCCATCGCATCATAACACAATGAAATATTGCCATTTCAGTCAGAAGGCGACGCCACAGTGCATGACGAGAAGAAGCGAAGGCGGAACATCCTAGGGGCCTTGGTGGGCCTGAGTCTGACCATGACAGGCTACTCAATCTTCAACGACTCCTACATGCAGTGGATCTACGTGCGTTTCCAGATGGACGTGTTGGGAGACAACTACACACTGGCCAACACCTCCTCGTGAGTTGAAGGAGAATGTGGATGGATGGATTGTCGCATTTTAGGGAGAAAAAAAAGGGGGGGGTTAAAGGGCTTTGTGGATGGATGGACGGATGGATGGGAGGAGGGGTTTGGGTGAGAGGCTTTGTGAATGGATGGATGGGTTTTGGGTTGGAAATTTGAGTGTGTGTGATGGGGGAGTTTTCATGGATGGATGGATGGATGGATGGATGGGTTTGGTTTGTAGATTTTTTTGGGGGGTGGGGGTGAATGGATGGGC